GCCATACGCATCTTGAGATCTGTCAGAAAATCCGTGAATCTCAAATTCTTGGGATGGTGCTTCCTTCGCCTTTCTTGGAATCTCTAGTGTTTGAAGTTCTACAAGATCTGTCCAGAACTGGTGCCATCTTGACTTTATATCAGCTGGCAGAGGAGAGTCCCAATTAATTTTCATCTGCCACAGTTGTTGAAGGAACACCTTACCTTTCACGAGAACTGGAGCTAAAAATCCAAGCGGGTCAAAGATGCTGTTCAGAGATGATAAAAGGGCTCGTTTGGTTATCATAGCTTCTAACTTGTTATTTTCCAAATTAAATTTGAACACATCTGTTGTAGGATTCCAGCACAGACCTAACGATTTAATTGTATCCTGGTCTCCTAACTTCAACACAAATAAGGGATCGTCATTGGAACCTTCAATTTTTTTCAATATTGTGACCGAATTCGAGCACCATTTTCGTAATGGAAGCTTGGCTGAGCTGAGAATGCTTGAAACATCTTGTTGCAACTTTAAACATTCTTCTTCAGAATCACCCCCAGTCATAATATCATCCATATAAAAATCTCGCCTTATTGTTTTTGCTGCGTTTGGAAAAAGTACTTCATTTTGACTAGCTAATTCATCCAAACACTTCGTTGTCATAAAGGAGGCCGGAGTCGTACCATAAGTCACTGTATTCAATCTGTATTTTCGCAATACGTCGCTAGGATGCTCTCGCCAAACTATCCGTTGAAGATCTCGATCTTCCTTGGCCACTAATACCTGCCTAAACATCTTCTCAATGTCAGCGGTAATAACGAATTGATGCTTACGAAACCGACTCAGAATAGAAATTAAATCTTCTTGAATACTTGGACCACGCATTAGCACATCATTCAATGCAATACCATTCGATCCTCTTGCGGACGCATCAAACACGACTCTGACTTTCGTTGTTAAACTAGATGATTTGATGACAGCATGATGTGGTAAATAGAACGTGGGTCTAGCTGTAATATCATCTTTTATCTCTTCCATGTGGCCCATTTTTATGTACTCGGTCATGAATTTGTTATACTCCATGCGTAGTTGATCGTCACGCTGAAGCCTTCTCTCAACGTTTATGAAACGACAGGTTGCCATATTCAAGCTACAACCTAGCTCGTTGACTCTTGGCCTTGTCGGTAATCGTAAAACAAAACGACCATCCGAGTTTCTAGTGACTGTTTTCATGAAATGATCCACAGCTTCTTGTTCCTCCGAAAATCGTAGGTTAGTTTTTGAAGAGCGGCCGAATGGCTGGTTCTCTTCACGTTGAATTGCCTCCCAGTCTTCATCTAGTGGCCTTCCAACTCCTAAAAGACAGGTTGCCACAACTTCACCAGTTACAACCCATCCTAGCTTGGTTCCTTGTAGTGATACGTTGCCAATCTCTAATGGAATTCTTTCAGGAGTCATAATGTCGAAAAATACACCTGCTCCTATTAATATATCAACTGGGCCTGCTTGATCGAAATTGGGATCAGCTAATTGCATGGATAATTCCTCGTTAATTTTCCAACCATCCCTTGGTTTCCTGCATGATGGAAGATCGCTTACTATATTCGGTAAAACATGACATGTGATATCTAGATTGAATGTTGAGACACATGACAGTAATTGAATGTTGACTCTTGAAGAGGTTTGCAACTGGCTTGTACCAATTCCACACACTGGTAATACCACCCTCTCACTGGGTAATTTCAGCTTGTTTTGCAGACCCTTAGAGATAAAATTCAATTGTGACCCACTGTCTAACACTGTACGACATTTATGAGCCTTGCCATTTATATCTCTAATTGTAACTACCGCGGTTGACAAGAAAACATAACTATTTGTTAATGTAGCAGCCATTGAATGTGCATGTCCTTGAGAAGTTGACGCACGCGTAGGGCTTACCTCCCGTGCATCATTCGTTACGTTGTCATTGGTATTGTCTGGTCTTCCCTCAAGATGAAGTAGTGTATTATGCCTGCGATGACAACGACCACATGAATACTTGGACTTGCAAACATTCGCTAAATGAAAACCTGATAAACAGTTAAAACAAAGTCTAGCGTCTCTTATTACATTTAGGCGTTCTATTATGGTAAGTTTCTTAAAGCTTTCACAAGTATATATTCTGTGCGGACCCTTACACTTAGGACAGACATCATGTTCCGTTCCCACCATTAGAGCGAACTTCTTCGGTTTTTGCTCATATTCCTTCCCCTTTGAATTATTTCGCTGACTGTCTACTTCACCAGAAATCTGTTTACTATAATCAGAATTCTCTAATGCAACACATCTGTTTGCCAGAAACCTTTCTAACGCTTCGTATTTTGGCAAGTGTGTGGATTCTTGGCGCAATTGCCAATCATGACTTGTTGCTGTGTCGAGTCTGCTGACTATAATTGTTACTAACCAGGCATCCCATTGATCCGTTGGTTGTTTCATAGCCTTTAGAGCGGCAATGTGAACGCAAATGTGAGCGTGAAGACCTTGTAATTCACCTGCCGAGGCCTTTTGTATGTATGGAGTTTCTAATATTGAGCGAATATGTGACTGAATAACAAGTCCTGGATTGTCATACCTCTGTTTTAAGCGATTTAATGCCACTTCATAATTTACATCTGTCATTGGTACAGATTTAACCAAATCGAGTGCAGCGCCAGTAAGATGAGACCTTAAATAATAAAACCTTTGGGCCGAAGAAAAACCAGTATCTTCATGCACCATGACTCGAAAACAATCGTAGAACGATTGCCAGTCTTGAATGTTACCGGTGAAGGTTGGCAGTGAAATCGGTTCTAACCGGACTCGATTATTAGTGGTTGATGCGCTGACCGACATATTGTTGATACTTGAGTTAAGACCTTTCTTCGTATTAATAATTTCCTGGATTTGAGAACGAATACAATAATACTCATTTTCAAATTTAGTACGCTCTTCTTCTTCAGCGGATTGCTCTTCAACTAAAAGCTCCAGTTGTGTTTGTGTGTCATCAAACTTCCTGTTTATTATGGGCAACTCTTCTTGTCTAAATTCCAACAGAGTAATTGGATCTTCATCTACGTCAAATTTTGAGACGAATGTCTTCATTCGTGTCAGCGATGCCTTAATTACGCCACGTCTTTTCTTTAATTCGGAAATATCCTTTTCCTGACTTGAATCTAAGACCATATTGTGCAATAAGTGCACGATTAAAAAAGATAATACCTGGTCAAACGGACAATAGCTGACCAAGTTGCTACAATAATATGAGACCAATAATTTAACGAATAAAATTGGCCGTGTTATCTTATACACCAATATACATTATTTACTAAAGATATTCTTCACGATTTCATAATACACTATAATTTGTTATTGATAATAATAATAAAGACATTTATCAGATTATTACATAACAGAGATAGGTATTATAAAGAAAAATAATTTTACCGTGATATGTATATACGGATGTCAACCTCAATATCAATAGAATAATGATTAAATTATAATATCTAAATGTTGTACTATATATTATTATATATCGATCACGTCGAGGTCACCATAATGTTCGCGCCGGGAACGGACAACAATAGGCCGTGGGCCCGGTCAGCTCAGTACGTCGTCGCGCACTCCTATCACACACCGACCGACCTATAGTTTGTGTGTATATTATGTTATTAGCATTCAACAGAAGGTGGCCAGGTTCGCCGAGCAAATCCTGAGAATGCTAGTGTGTAGTGGGTGTGTATATGAGTATGTGTGAAATGTAGACTTATAACTAATTGACTAGGTAACTCAAGTAATAAATATGGCAATTAAATATAAGCTGTCACTCTTTGTTTATTGACGAAACAATGTATATATAATGATAAATATATAGCCAGACCGGCTCAACACACAATAATAATAACAATAATAAGTAGGTACTCACAATAATTTAAGATGCGAAGACTGGCCAGCCGCTACATGTACCTAACCTAAATATAATATTATACAGTGCTAATAAATAACAATGGTTATAATAATGTTACAGCGAATTGCCCTCACAATAATTTAATATGATATCACTAATGACGATGGCTATACGAGCCTTAACAGAATTATAAAAAAAACACAGCGGCGATAGGCGCACACGAATAATATAAAAATTACAATAATAAAAAACACAGCGGCGATATGCGCACACGAATAATAATATAAGAATTGCAATAATAAAAAACACAGCGGCGATATGCGCACACGAATAATATTATGAAAATGACAATAATAAAAACTTCGACTATTTGCGCCTATACACCTGATCATGCATTCAACCATACGGGTTTGCGATCGACGCACTACTACTAATTAAATGACAGACACAAATAGTACATAATTTATAATTCACTGATAGGACATGAGATGTGCGTTGTGGGTCGGGAGGTGGAAGTGCGCGGAGCGGTCAGCGATACTGCCGCGAATTATAATAGATTGGTGATATAGACTTACGTAATGATATATGATATAAGTGTCGTTCCGGCGCGAACAGTAGTCTACCCATCTTTTGCTTACCTATTTCGAGTTTTAAAAGTCTATAGTAAATACTTTACACAATTTATTACAGTTTACACTCAACATCCGTAAGAGGTTATTTAACTATAATTATCAACGTATACTGACATACTGTATAGGTACGTACGGACTGCGCGGCGGACCAACAACGACACATTCCGACATTCCGTTCGACTGCCACGTTTTTGGAAAATAATAATATAAATGATAAACATTATAATAAATGTATAGATTATCGTATTTTAACGGACGCCATAATAGTTTTGTCTTTGACTCCAGTGTCGGCACAGGGTTTTGCGGGGCCCGGGGCAAGTAAAAACGTTTCATTCGCGTCATACCGGCATTAGTCTCTTGGCACTTTCGTGCACTATGTACGGTTACCCCCAAAGCCCGGGAGCTCTTGAAATTTTAAAATATTCGCGGAAGGGTACGACCATATTCTCAGCTTTCGTCGTCAGATGTACATAAAGTACGACGACATACCAAAACTCCCTAGCTCATTATTAATTTCTGCAAACGAGTCACAATTCCGCATTTTCTTCACTGACGACAAAATAACTTGTTTCATTTGCAAATCTACGGGTCACACATCCTTGACTTGCAAAAAATCGAATCTAAATAACACGGAAATCTCCTCCTCACCGCAACAGACAAATGCATATGAACATAATTCTACGCCAGAAAATCAAAAAATCGACCAAATCGATATCTCCCAATCTACTATCAGTTCTCAAATGCTCATCACCTCAGACGAAACGCCTCCAACTTGGAACATCGTCACCGAAACATCAGCTCACAAACGACAGGCTCCTCCAACAACATCTTCTTCAGCCCCTACCAGCCCCCTGCATTCAACTTCACAAGAGCCAAACCTCTTAGACCCAAAACACCACCACAAAAAAATTAAAACGATCGAACAAACTACTACATCTAATAATACTCCAACGAATCAAGTATCGTCTTTCACTCAGCCAGAAATAACGAACAAGCCAGAAAACCGCTCTCGCTCAAACTCGCGCAAACGCTTTTCAGAGGAACTGGACACTCACCTTGATCCCATCAGTCATATTTTCAATGAACACAATCATACTAGTATAAACTTCTCTCAATTTAAACATATAATAGAAATTATTGCTACTCTTGACCACCCTCTAGACACAATTCATGAATATGAAACAACAGGCAACCACATATTGGAATTACTCGAAAAAATCAGACCTTCACTTTTAACTGTTAAAGCTAAAAACAATATAACCAGGATAACAAACAAGCTCTTTAATGCAATAGATAATGAAGCCTTCATGGATGCTTCTGAAGCTGAATCTGATACTTACTGATACTTTCTCATTCATTCACACAACTCACAATCATCACAAAAAGCCAGCAAAAAACAATCCAAAAGATCCAATAAAAAAAAAAAAAGAATACTGTTGATAATGGCTAAAATAATTCAATGGAACCTTAATGGCTTCTTCAAGAAACAAGAAGAGCTTAAACTCATCATCCAAAACCACGACCCCCAAATTATATGCCTACAAGAAACAAATTTCAAAGACAACTTCACAGCTCACCTCAAAAATTACGAAGGATTCAGTAAAAATAGAATATTATCGGATAGAGCCAGCGGAGGAGTCACAATATACACAAAATCAAACATCCCAACCAAAAAAATAAAAATAAATAGTAATTTCGAAACAATAGCTGTATCCATAGAACTCAACGAAAAATTCTCTATATGCAACATTTACTTGCCAAATCAAACGGATTTTTCTTTACCAGATCTAGAAAATATTATACGTCAACTCCCTAAGCACTTTATACTAATAGGTGACTTTAACTCACATAATATAATTTGGGGCTCAAACTCCACCAATCCTAGAGGAAAAACTGTAGAAAAACTCATACAAAATGAAGATCTAGTACTTTTAAATGACTCAACTCCCACTCACATTAATTTTGGAAATGGCAACTTTTCTTGTATAGACCTTTCCTTAAGCTCACCATCAATTGCACAGAGGCTCGAATGGGAAGTTTTATCAGAAATTTATAGTAGCGACCACATTCCAATCAAAATTAAAATATCACATAGGCAAGTAAATAATAAACATTCAAATAAACATAGATGGAATTTAAAAAACCCAAATTGGAACTTATATACCGACCTACTAGAAGAAGAAACCAATAAGATTATTGACCACAACATCATTGATATAGAAGAGACAACCCTCACCTTCACAAACCTCATAACTGACAGTGCAAACATGACAATAGGCACAACTAATCAAACAAAAAAACCCAGAGTACCCTGGTAGAATGAAAAAATAAAAGAAGCAATATCTAATAAAAATAAAGCACTAACAAATTTCAAAAAAAATAAAACCTCCGAAAATCTTATCGAACTCAAAAGACTCAGAGCCAAAAGCAAATTCCTCATAAAAAACAGTAAAAGAGAATCATGGAACATATACACATCCACCATCAATGAAAAAACGAGCCCATCACAAGTATGGAGAAAAATAAAATCATTAAAAGGCTTATCACGTCACAACGACATAGTTATTAAAGCCAATCAGAGTACCATAACTGACCAAACAGATACAATAGGAACATTCTTTCATGAAAACTTTAGCGATAAATTATACGAAGAAAATTTTATAAACGAAATAAAGATCCCTAATGAGATCTCACAAATCAAGTCATCCATTGAACCCAATAACCCAGATCAGATAAACCTAAATCTCAAAATCACAATGGAGGAGTTAGAACAAACTCTGAGAATATGCAATAGTAAAAGCCCGGGCCCCGACACAATCCCTTATAGCTTCTTACATAACATGGGCACATCGTCAAAGCAACACCTACTCAACATTTATAATCACATATGGAAGAAAGGACAGATCCCCGTTAAATGGAAAATGGCCAATATAATTCCTATCTTAAAACCAGGTAAAGACAAACACTCACCTGAAGGATACAGGCCTATATCCCTCCTTAACACGATGGCTAAAATACTCGAAAAAATAGTGAACTCTCGACTGATTTGGTTCCTGGAAAAAGCAAAAATTCTATCTGACCTGCAAAGTGGCTTCCGCAAACACAGATCCACTATCGACAGCCTTACGATCATTAAGTCAGAAGTTAACGACGCACTCAACTCAAATCAGTACCTCGGTTTGATAAGCATAGACATTGCCAAAGCCTATGATTCGGTATGGAGACATAGAGTGCTACTAATACTTTCAAAAATTCTAACAAACGGCAACATGTTCAACTACATAAAATGCTACCTTAACTCAAGACAATTCTCAATCTCTCTTTCAAATGCCCAATCAAAAAACTACTCCCAGCAAAATGGAATTCCTCAAGGTTCGTCATTATCGGTTACCCTCTTTTTTTTAGCAATAAATGACATAACCAACACCATAACATTTCCTGTAAAGGCCAACCTTTTCGCAGACGACTTTAATTTCTGGTGCAAAAGCCCTAATCTAAAAACGGTACAACACTTCCTACAAGATACAGCAAACAACATCGCAAAATGGTCAACACTCACCGGTTTCAAAATCTCCAGCCTTAAATCTCAATGCATCATATTCTCCAACAAAAGAGGCCAAAAGCGCATCAAAATCCAGTTAAATGACATCCTCATCCCAAACGTAAATTCAATTAAAATACTAGGAGTTTATTTCGACAAAAAAATCAACTGGTTACAACACCTTAAACAACTCAAGATATCTTTGTCGAGAAGTCTCAACATCATGAAAATGATAAGCCACTCCACATGGGGAGGAGACGAAGAAACACTCATAAAAATCCACAGACATCTCATCAGAGCAAAAATGGACTACGGTGCAACAATCTACCAATCAGCCAAATCTCACCACAAAAGAATAATAGATTCTACTATAAACTCCAGCTTAAGATTCGCTATTGGAGCTTTTCGTTCTAGTCCCATAGAAAGCATTCGAAACCTAGCACTTGAACCCCCTACTGAGCTTAGACACTTAGAAAAATCACTACTCTACGCTGCCAGCATCACAAGAAACTCTGGCAATCTAGCAAACAAATACACTACAGAAATTACCGAGTACGCTAAAGACCATGGTATAGAATTCAATGCGATAACGAAAGTTCAACCCCTCAAATTCCCCCCATGGGCCTTCAATATTGATATAAACCTGGATTTAACTAAATTCAAAAAAGAAGATACTTCACCCATGATTTACAAAAATCACTTAAACGAAATACTCCAAGATCACAAAAATGCAAATTGTTATTACACTGATGCCTCCAAATCTAGAAAAGGCGTGGGAATCGCAATTACTAACCATGACCTCTCCATCAGATTCAAACTCCCCGAAAGCTGCTCTATATACACGGCAGAAGCCATAGCAATACTCAAAACAGTAGATCACATATTACTTAATCACGATCATGGAAACCCCCACAAAAGCAATCTAATCCTGTCAGACTCACTTTCATCACTCACGAGCCTCAAAAACCCATTCAACACTACAGATATAGCAAAACTTATACTTCAAAAAACTAGCCTAGCATATCAGACAGGAATCAAAATTTCACTAGTATGGATCCCGGGGCACAGCGACATAGAGGGCAACGAAAAGGCAGACCAAGAAGCCAAGAAAGCAGCAGAGCACACTGATATACCCATATTAAATATTACTACATTCGCAGACATAAAAAAACAGATTAAAGAACTTACTAAAATCTAATGGCAAACACACTGGCTCGGACAAACCACTAAATTGAGAAAAATCAAAAACACCATATTCAGTTGGCCCAATTTCCTCACGAAACGAAGAGAAAGAATAATCATTAACAGACTTCGCATCGGACATACTCGACTAACCCACGGTTATCTCATGTCAAAAGACGAAAAACCTATCTGCACAGCATGTGGCACCGAACTAACAGTTCATCATATCCTCACAGAATGCCGACAATACACAGAGGCACTCGATCAGCTGAACCTAACCTTAGACGCAGCCCTCGGTCCAAATGCAGACTCCTCACTCCAAATCTTGTCTTTTTTAAGAAAATATAAATTGTATGACTTAATTTAAAATTATTATAATATGTAAGATACCAAAAAAAAAAATGTAATTAATGTAACGTTTATGACTAATGGCCGTTGTCGCCGATGTCTTTCGATCAATAAAAAAAAAAAAAAAAAATTTATTTAGAACTAAGAAACATGATAACTTTAATGTAGAACAAAACAAAAAAGCTTTAAGTGTTTATGATGATAAAAGATTTATTTTGGAAAATGGTATTGATACATTTGCTTGGGGACATTATAAAACAAATATAGATAGAAATGATTTTGTAAACCATCTCAATACACTGATTAGAAATCAAAATCAAAAAGAATAGAAAATATTTTTAATAGAACAATGTTAAAAAAAAAAATATTTACTAATATAAATAATAAAAAAGGAAAATTGTAAAAAACTTTTAGATATGATCCAAAGGTATAAAAATATACTTAAAGAGTTATCAGAAATTGAATCATCTATGTATAGTTTAGAAACTCATGTATCATTTTTATATCAATCTTATGATGATAATGAGAGTTACAAAAAAAATTTTAAGAAATGAATTGGTTATTTTAAGGAAATTCATAATGAATTATCGGATCATATAATGAGTCATTGGATTGATAACTATTTTTTTTAATGTTCACTAGTTTGTTGTTAGACTTTTTTAATAGAACAATTCTATTAAAAATTAAATTAATATGCCTAACTACAAATATTCTATTATATTTTAATTTTGATTTTAATTATTAATATTATAAGTTTTGTAAAAAATATTTTTAGGAAAATAAATATTGCATTTCGATTTTTAATTATTAATAATATAAGTTTTGTGAAAAATATTTTTATTATTATTGCATTTCATAAGTTTTGCGAAAATTATTTTAAATTATTATTGCATTTCAATTTTCTGATCTTTTCCTATTATTTTCTTTGTGATCTTTTATTGATATAATATTATGAGCTGCACCTTAAAGATGCTGCGCCATTATTGGCATAGTTATACTACTTATATCCATCTTGGTTACAACATAAATATTAAAGAATATCTATGGTTATAACCGTCTTATGTCCGCGAAATGTAGAATATAGATATACCGTTACGCTTACGGCATTAAGAACGCGGCATTACCGCATTAGTGTTGCTCTTGTGTTTTTTTTTCATTTTTTCTTTGTTAATAAAATACAAATTATTTATTTTTATTGTTGCTTAAATTTGTGAACTATAAAATAAAATTATGGGAAGAAAAAAGGGCATAGTGCGTAAATACTTTGAACAA